ATGACCAACTGTCTTCCTTGAATCGACATGCTTGTGTATGAATTGATAATCATTTTATACCTGTTATTTAGAGTTATTTAGAGACGTAAGCATTCTTCTGTTAGTGACGGATATACTTCGTATAGAGCAGTTAAAATTGTTAGCCAAATTTGCCGTATCGTTCTGCCGGTTATCTATAGTTTATTGATATGAATCAGCTGTACATAAAAAGATTAAAATAACGATCATATTAAATTGCTGCCTGCGGATCATCTACAGCATCCTTCACTTTGTCCAAACTAGGTTGCACATGATCGGAGCTTTACAGCACGTCAAACAAACGATGCCTTATTTCAGGCAGCTGTTATGCAAAAATTTCAAAGTATTAAGAAGCATGAGCGGAATATAAACGACACAGCACAGAAGTACGTATATCACTTACACGTTCCAGAAACGTGGAAGTAGCAGAAAATATGAAAAGAGGCTGTAAATATCACTCTCATTAAAGTACTTTCGGTAATGTTAACTTTTGTCCGTCCATCCAGAATCACCGCAAAGCATTCGCTCAGCTCCAAACACATTATATTGCATGGTGGAACTTTCCAATCTTAAGCTGAAACAGTCACCTGTGCCGGTACTTAAATAACCAGCTAAACAGCTGACCGGTTCTTGTTCCTAATTAATGGGGATCACCATTCCCTAGGCATGATGTTTACGTTCGTCTGTATCGTTCGATTTGTCGCCGCAAGCTACCCTTCCTCACTTGTAGCTCGTCATTCCATCTAAGCCAACGTTTTCCAGTGGGACTCTCGCACTCTGGTACCAATGCTTCACGCTGCAGTCCATCAGTTGACCATCTATCGAGCGAGGTAGTCCGAGGAGACTGGGGGATGCTTGTTTTTACTTTTCCTTTCATTCCATCTGGACAAATGGTTTTGATCACTGCCCACAATTTCCATTCACCCCAGTTAAATTGGGTAGCAGGTGATGCAGCAATTTGAACCTTGGCCCACTCAGAGTCTTCTTCTCTCAGCTTAGTCACAGCCACCTTTCCTCCAGCGGTTTCTCCTTCGCACCAGGGAGCGCTGCATCATTCGGTGGAGAATATAATAAACCGTTTAATATAAAAGTGCTAATAGACGAATGGGCGCCGCAAGCTGTTTTTTCTGTTAAAAGAAAGGTTTCTGTTGACTATTGTAACGTACCGAAATCCTGTTGAAGAAACCAAATCAAAAAACCGGTTTTGGCCTTGAGTGAGCGTCATTTTCGTGCTGTTCAAAATTCGGTCATCAGCACAAGTCAGGACTGGAATGGTAAACGGCAGAAGGTGGTTAAAGACTAAAGGTTTGTAGAATTAAAGCACTTCTTTACTCCCTATGAACCTTGTCGCTTTTCAAAACTTCAGACCAGTCAAAATGCACAGCATTTTATATCCTGTCAGTTGACTGGGTGACCACCTACAAAAATCCTCACAGCACTGATTCGACCTCAATTTTCGAAAGATTTTGCCAAGAATTTGTCGCCACTTGGTCTCCATTGTCCCAGAAGGTTCAATGGGTATCTCAGATTCACATATTCCAATGATGTCTGCTATGTTTATGAGTCGTGGACTATGACTGAAAAACGTCGAACCCGGGTACAAGCTACTGAAATGGGCTTTCTGAGACGCATCTCGACATGATCCGGAATGCTGATACCCGGAAGAGCCTTGGTACACAGGCTTTGCTTCTCCAGATTGAGAAGTCACAGCTGCAACGGTTTGAACATGTGTTCTGAATGTCTCCAGAAAGGAAGGTGTTTTCTTGCCAAACTGACCGGCAGAAAGCCCGGGGCTGCCAACATTAACCTGGTGCAAATATATAGAAGAAGTTCGCTCTAGACTCAGGCTGTCGTCTGCTGAACGTATTAAAAATATTAGATGCAGGTACGGTAGTTATAGTCGAAAACCAGTTTGGGAAAAACTGAGTTTGGCAAAAGATGGAATCTTTCAAAATCGACCTGAGCAATAGATGGGAAAATAGACACATGCACCGTTTACCAGATGTTCTTTGCTGATCTGCATCTGCAACCTCGAATTTACCTCGCTCAAATAACCATGGACACATGCCAATTTCGACTTTTGCCTAAGGTATACAAATACATTGCGAGAATGACCGAGTTCAGGGAGAAAATTGATGACGCTAGCAAAATTGTGTCATATGAATCTTATTTTACAATTTTGGGCAGTTGATCAGTCAATCAATCATCTTTATTGCTTCTAAACCTTGTATAAATGGACTGAACTTTTGGCATAAATCATATGACAGTTAATTGTTAACTTTAAACCAATTCACTAAACGGCATGATTCCAAACCTGACTAAAGTTCGCCTATGAAATTCAGTTTCTTCGTCGCCTCTAGTCACTACTTGATTTATCCTATCACATTACTTATTAAAACGTAGCTCTTCATGCGTACGTATATGAAATTATTTCATGAATGTGAGGGATGAAAAGAAGAAGATTTTTTAACACGACGTTCAGTGTCAAGAAATTTAAATTTGCCTAGGCCTATTAAAAAAAACCTCTGAACAAATTTGCATATAACCTTAACATGCGTTTTGCGACACTGAACGCATCGGCCAGGCAACCAGAGGCAAACTGGATAACTCTTATAAAAATATATAATCACTCAATCATGAAAATGAAGATAACGATATAAATATGCACGTTGAGACTATATCATAAGCTTCTCTAGTGTAAACGATTATTCTATTATAAGAGAATTAAATATCCGTGATTAACATAGGTCAGCTTCGAACGCAGGAGGTTCCAGAATCGAATTCGAGGTTTTGTCTCATGTAAGGAAGAAATTCACGGCAACCTGCTTCGGTGTAATCAACTGAGAAACGGGCAGCAATTCGATGAGCTTGCGGACAACAGGGGCCGTATGGTGTTCATACAGGAATGAGCCGGAAGTGAAACAATTATGTCTGAAGTGAACTACTCATAAGGTTGCAATTCGCCTTCACTTAAGTGACGGCTGTTTAGTGAATGTGATCATTAGCGGAGGTGTTTTTATTTCCTCATCTTATTCTTCAACCTCTCATGGTTTCAGAGTTTCGACATACGTGAATAATGTTCATGGATCAGAGGAAGAATATATTAATCGAAAATCATTCATCTCACTGGGGATATTCATAGACCATGGCAATGTTGTTCGATGAAACTTACCCTTCCGAAGAACAGGTGTCTTAGCGACGGACACTCTACAGCTCGTAT